TGCATCTCTATTCCAGAGGAAATATTGTACTTTTTACGCCTGTACATTTATTTTGCAGCTATAGGTGCTAGTTATTTTACAGTGCAAGTCAAGTCAGGTCATCATTATTTATATAGGACATTTAAAACAACAGCCAAAGCACTTTCCAACAGAGAAATTAGATTAATATTGCATGTTAAGCAATATTAAGGTTAAGACGCTACAGTATTACTTTATGTTAAATAAAAAAAAAAAAGATCTGACTATTTACATTATTGGGGTTAAGAATTAATATTGTGTATAGCCTACATTACTAAATGACCTGACCGATCAAAAAATGTAAGTTTATACCCTACAAAATTGCAAGATTTCCAGTGCAGAGGAAGGACGCCTTCAGCCAGATAGAAACCTTCAGCAGAACCAGGCTCTGGGAGGGCAGCCATCTGCCTTGACCAGCTGGGGTGAGTGTGAAGGGGAGAGAGCAAAGAAGAGCAGATAATAATAGTGACCGGAGTATTTCTGCTGAAGTACTTTTCATTTCAATACTTCTGTTCTTTTGCTAAGAAAATATTTTGAATGCAGGACTTTTGTAACAAAGTTCCTGGTTGAGAAGAACATTGCCGTGCTGGAGCAACCTCCCTACTCACCCCACCTGGCTTCATGGGATTTTTTCCTCTTCCCCAAGCTCAAGGGAGTCATCAAGGGGACATCAAGATGGCTGTGACGACGGAGCTGCGGAGGATACCGGAAGAATTCTTCCAGGAGTGCATGGCAGCGTGGCAGAGAATGCTGGGTAAGTGTGTTAGACTCCAGGGAGATTACTTCGAAGGGGAAAACTTGTAGTTTGTAGTTTGGATTTGAAATATATCTTTCGTGACACCAGTCCTGAAACTTTTCTGACACACCTTGTATTTACAGAACTGTTTTCTATCAAATTTCAATAGCCGAAATTGTGTGCCACTTTTGTGAACAACTTCACTACTCCATACGTTACTTGGGGATTTTTTTGTTACATCATCCTGCAGTGGGCCTATTCGTCCAGAAAGATAAAAATGCTTGTACCCAACTTTTTACAAATTACACAAGACTAGCGATCTTAAAGAACCCATTGGATATACTTTTTAATTTTCCCCTTTTCTTTAATGTATTATAGCTTTTTGTATATGTAGAAGGTCTGCAAATGTATAAAGCCCAAAGTCTATGCTAAGGGTTTTTTATTTATTTTTTTTTTCCAACAGAAAACCCTGCTTCTTAACGGCCTGGGATGCTATGTTTAAAGTCAGGGCTTTTCTTCCATTACGTATTCATGTCACAATGTGAAACACTGGCACAGCACTTCCTTTTGGACAGGTTGGCCACGCCTCCAACAAAAAACAATTTGTATCTTATTTGCAATCCACCATTATTTCCTTACAACAACCACTTTTGCTGGAGCATCCCTATATTTCAATTCCAGTTGGCCTAACTGATCAGTCAGCAGACCTTTGCCGAAGGGAGGCCTGAGCATTTTAAACAGAAGGTGAGAAGAGGTGCTGCTGCAATGTACAGTATTAGAAAAATAATGTGGATTTTTTTACATAAAGCATGTAAATATATTCTAGCAGACCCCAAAAATAAAAATCTAAACATGTAAATATGCATAATATGGGCTCTTTAATATATTTTTCAGCAGGGACGAAGAGCAGAGCAGAACTATGCTGTCTGTAGAACAATTGGACTTAAAAGCTGGATCTCTGTGGGTGAAAAATTAATTATTCTATACTTAAAGCAGATATATCTTAGAGATCACAAAAATATAGATGCTGGAAGTGGTAAATTGTGATATAGTTACTAAGGTTTCTACACTGAACCTGAGAGCTCAGTGAACATAAATAGTGCCAGGTTTCCACATGAGTTTGTTCAGAAAAGAAATAACATATAAGGAGATTTGGGACATTTTTAACTATCAAATTCCTGGACTGAAACCACCACATGTTTAAAGCATGTTCATGGCTCTAAAAAAAAAAGAAAAAGTCATACTGTATTGCTTTAAGCATATTTGTGGGGAAAAAATATCAAGTAGTCATCGATTGCATTCAATAAAATCACTTGACCACAGCATGAAAGAAAAGGCAATAGAGCTCAGGTGAACCGGTGATGTGTTATTTATGTCAGGCTCAGTTCAAAAGCAGCCTCAATGGAGGAGACATACCCCATAAATTTCTCTATGGCCCCTATGAGCAGGTCAGGAAGCCACCAATATTTCCTCTTTATTAGAAACAACAGAAACAACATTCAGCCATAAAGGAGACCTCAGAGGTGAATCTGAAACACGGGAAAATGGCAGCCAAAGCATGCTGCTCCGAGAGCTGAGAGGTAGTCACACAATCCATTTCTCTGCAACTGACTTGTCCAAGTATCAGTACGTTCCCTCATAACTCTTAGACCGGTGACTCGCAAACTTCCCATGCTTCATCACAGGTCAACTCGGAGATGAACTTTAAAGGAAGACGTAACAAATGATCACAGGCTCTCGGGCAATTCACATCTGCTGAAGTGCCATAACCCTCTACATATCCTGACCTCAATTTGGAGCCTGCGTGTTGAAGGCCCATCTGAGGGAGATGGTATCGATCTGAGCAGGGACTCTGGCAGCATCAATAAACAACAGGCTTCAGGCTTCAAGGCTGAGGAGACACATCTCTATTTCAGCTGGAGGGTTTGCATCTGGATACCTGAGTTGGGCCCTGGACAGATGGCGGGACATGTTTTTCTCGCTGAACTCACAGCAGACCGAAGCCAGCAACATCTTCCCTAATGTTGGATCTGTCGAGGTAAATAAGGCCTCAAACTACAAGCCTGCGCCTTTTCACTCTGAATAATTACCATTAATGTTAAGGAGCACAGTAGATAGAGAGCTACCAAGTAACAGTCAATAAGCACGAGAATGATCAATGTTTAACAAGCAGACGAATAGCATTTCAAGATCTTCTATATCAGCATTACAGTGCAAGACGACAGTGCTGACTTTGGATCAGTGATCAATAAAGCCAGCAAGCCAACCAATACATTTAACATAGACTAATGAAATAATAATCATCAACCAAGGAAGAGGAAGTGAACACAGACAACATTTGTTACACACAACAAAAAGCCATGAATGAAAATAAAACCGTTGTGAAAGTAATGGGCAATCTTGCCGGACAATTTCGTTGCTGTCTCGTTTACTTGCTTTTCCCTCTTTGCTGAGAAAGTTAAATAAGTGTGCCTCATATATTTAGAGTCAAACTGAGCTCACTTTGCGCTAAGCAGCTTGTCAATAACAAGAAAAGAGGTATGCGGCGGCAGAGGAGGTCTGATAAAATGGCTTTTAATTACCAGACAGTGAATGCTGGCCTTCCTTTTCCACTTTCTCCTCCCAGCTAAGTCAGGAGTTTGATTTCTGATAATGTGGATTGCTGACTGGGCTTCATCCTAGTTGCCCCTAAAGCAGAAGGACCTAACGTCAAGTCCTGGGAGAGTATGTCTGACAAAGTGCCATATAGATCCTGTGCTTTTCATCAGTGGGCAGTGCTGGAGGAGGCATTAATCAGAACGCTTGATAGCCCTGCTTTGTTTCCCCTTTACTCTCCTGTAACAATTTGGCAAAGTAATAATTTCAGGCATTACATGGAAATCAATGGCTCTTTAACCCGGCTGTTGGTGCAGGCATAAGTGATGAGATAAGTGCAGCAAGGGTCGATGCAATGAACTTGTAACCTCTTTGTGTGTGTGTTTGAGGCAATTGACAAGCAGGTAGATATACAGTATGTGGTTAATTCTGTAGTTTACATTTCCCTTTCCAATGCCTCCCTTCCTGTCTTAATGAGATGGTAACAACTGATAGAGAAGTTCAATCTTAGGCCAACCAAGGGTGGTGACAGCTGTTTTGGCAGCCAATGAAACCTAACCTTCTGCGGTGGCTGGCACAGCACACACCCCGTTGATATTGTTTTCAAGTACCTCATGTCTAGCCAGATCTAGCTTTAGCAAGTTCCTATCATTACACAGAACCCTGGTCAACAGACTTGGGTATCAGGTCTGTGAGCAGCACGCTGTAAATTAACAGAAGAAGAAACTTTGCCCAGGGATCAATGCCTCGCTGTTGGAACTGCAATCAGAGCTCTTTAGTGAGTGGCCGGAAAGACCGATGCTGCTCCTCAATCATAAGGCCGTAATCAACAACAGTTCAAAGTGTCCCTTTGTTTTACGCTCAGTTATACACGAAAGCAGAGTGGAAACCTTTAAATACTAATGCCGTGTTAATGAGTGAAAGATGTAAAAACCTCTTTCAATGCTTCTTTGAAAAGCTGTGATGGTTTTTATCTCAGCAGCTGTTCATCTCCGTGAAAGCGAGGACCATTCATACAAGATTCAACTTTTGACTGAACATTCACCATCTTGATCTAAGGCCAGTTTTAAAAAGAATATTTACCCTTTAGTTGGCCACCCATTATGCCCTCTGAAAGCCACTGTGCTCTTAGTGTTGTACTCCTTTATCAAACTTGATCTCACGTCAATGCCTTGTACAGTCGAGGCAATCTAAGGTGGCGACAGTGTCTTTTGTTGGAGCACTCAATAACTCCACTTCAATACAGAAAGCTGAGTTGTACACACACATAGAGTGTCATCCAGTGTTGCTTTCTTTCACACATTTTTCTTTACAGAGCTTTTCAGGCTGACGCTTTGTGATTCCAGAGCAAGTTTATAACTAGGTTGACATTTGGTTTTATTAGGACTACAATGACACAAAAGAAACGTGTTGTGAATCACATTATTCAGAACATATTCACATTCAAAGAAGTTAAATAAAACATTCAAAAAGTTCCTATGTCAAGTTAGTTTTCATATTTAATAGTATAGTGGTCCAACAAAGTCACGCACAGCAAAAACCTTACCTACATTTTAAAAAAAAATATGGAGGTGTTTTATTTTGAAATGACCAACCTACATGAAAAAAAATCCTGCTGGGGTTTTATTTTGAAATGCGCGGAGAGGATGTTGATTGCTGTTAGAGGGGCAGTTGTGGTTTCCTCAAAACTAGCAGCACAGCTAACTATTTAACACAACAGAGGGTGAAAGTTTGGCAGGAGAAGTCAGGTTTACAGTGAAAGCTGAATGTTTTCTGCGGTTATGACTTGACTTCGGTGTCGGAGGAGGTCGAGCTCAGCGGCGGTTTCAACCCAGAGTGTGGACTGAGCAGGATGCTAGCATGTGTCGTTAGCAAACCACTGCAGGAAATTAGCTCGTTAGCTTCGACAGCCAGCCAAAGTATTATGAGGCTCAAGTTTCCCTCTTTACGCTCAGTTTAAATAACCTCAATGGACACCGAGGCGATAGTGATCCGTATAAAAACGCCGTCGGGGGACATGGACTCGTCCGTCGACTGTCCATCTCTTCTGAACTTCAATGACTTGCTGGTGAGTCTTCATGATGCTACAGAGCTAGCTCACTGTCACATTCAAGTTCTAACACACTTGTTCTGTACAATGAAAACAACACACACGGTTTGGATTTGACAGTTTCTGAGCCAGGGGCGCCTCCAGGAATGTTTCACTGGGGTGTCCAGATGTGGTCAGTGAAAATGTTGGGGTGGCAAATCAAAACCAAAAGTCACAGAATTGTTCCATCTCAATAAATCAACACATAGAACAATATCTGCTTGACCTTCTCTGATCTGCCTGGAAATGTTGTACCATTAAATATAGATACTTATGAAGCTGTGTGTGAACTATGAGCTTGATTGACCTGATACTCTGAGATTTTTATTTTATTTTGTTCAAAATTCCTTGTCAGCACACTTTCAGCAGGGTTTTGTTTTTTTTGCACATTTAAATTGAGTTTAAAACTCAGTATTTCAGGCCCGAGATGAAAACCAGGGATGTTCAATTATTTCTCATTGTACTGTTGATCAAGAACTTCCTTGTTAATATGATGAAAGTTGCCCAATTAATTATGAAAGTTCAACAAAAATAGCTTTTTTCACATTTGTGACCAAGTATTTCATATTAAAGTGTATTCAGTGTGGTTTGTTTTGTATTATTGGGACATGCAGCTATATATGGTCCAGAAATAATCACTAGTTGACTTGTGCATTATCAATTTGTTTGTTAATATGTACTCAAAGTTGGGACATTTCAAGTGTTTTTTTCGTATTTCAGCTGATACATGCTCAGGGATTATTTGATCTTGTCAAGTGCTGCAGATTTTCAATCAATGACACAGCCAATGAAAGTTTAAGGTCTTTGACTGTAATAGTTCCTGAAATCGTTTAATATGTGGAAAAACATGCTCGAAGTGGTTAGATGGGCAGTTTTTAAAAAGAGCTTTAAACTCTGTGTTTTGTTCCTGTCTTTGTTATAACTCACTCTGCCAAAACATTTCAGGTCGCAATCAGAGACGTCATGCCTGAAGCCACTGTCACCGCCTTTGAATGTAAGTACTTGTTATACATTTGTATTGTTTAAATGCCCATGAACAGTTACAGCACTGTGAACTAGGCCTGCACAATAATATTGTTTCTGCACTGATATTGCAATGTGCGTGTGGTAGTCGAAGTAAAGCAAGGATTTGATGCCACAACTTTTTTGCTGCTTGATGCAAAAAAACCCCCAAACAACTCAAATGGTTTTCATTTTCCATGACTAATGTACAACAAAAACTATCTAAAGAAAATAATATACTCCAATTTTAGATTTTTCAAACTTTACTCACCAGATATTAAATTTGTTGACATGCAAGCTCCGTATGCACACAGAAAAATGTGTACCAAATGGAGAGAAACACTGAAAACTAAGATTTGTTTGAAAAGAGAAGTGCAACATCAGTAATGTAAAAACATTTTGGCTACAGCAAGGATTATGCTGAGTAAAAACATCTGGTTTGTCCTCAGTGTCTCACATGTCTTACAATTCTTGCCACCACATAAGGCACATGGTGAAATATCTGTTTTTCATATTGCAATATTTATTGCAGAAAAGTAAAATATTGCAATGCCCACGTTTTCCAAGATCATACAGCCCCGCTTGCTGTGAACCTTGTGAATGTCCTGTATTATGTTTAAAAGCATCCCTGTACTGTATGAAGCATTTTACTGAAAACTCAAAACTAGAGAGGGCAGGGAAAAGGAGTCAATCAGCGCAAGACAATATAGATAAATAAGGTAAAAAGTGTAGCTAGTAAATATCACCACGGAAAGTCCAGAGCTGATTATTTATGTTTAGACAATTGTCTTTTGTATACAAAGTTTTCAAAAATGTTACATTTAAATATGCCATGAGGCATTATCTAATTAAATAAGGACCTCTCTGAGCTTTGGATGAAGCCAAGTTCAAACTTTGTGCTTCATTTTGTCGACAGAATAGAATCAGAGGTTTGCTACAGAGAGGATTTTAGATTTCTTTTTATTACTCCATAAATGAGAACGTGTCAACAGGCAGGGGAAAATCAATTTTCACCATGTTTTTAGGAATAAAATGTTGTTAAATCAGGCAGTGAATGGTATATGAACAAAGGCCTGTGTAAAAACCTTCAGAATATAGATAGGAATAAAACTGGAAGGTTTGGTGTCTGCAAGTGCTATTGAATTGGAGATTTCTGGCTCAGAGGATAAGATAAAACTCATTCTCTGGTCTTTAAAGATATGTATTTTAATCGAAAGCTACAGACAAAGTGTTGTAAAATACACATTTAAATGTGCGTTTTACACATTTTCTTTTGACTAGTCTGAAAAAAGACATGTTACGGAGGCCAAACATGACAAAACTTCATGATTGACCACTGCATCAAAACATTGTGTTGTCTCGCCTTCAGTGCATTGGTGTGCATCCAAATAATCTGAGTGATGCCATTTTTGAGATTGTTGTATATCCAAAGAAGGAAGACAAAGCTATTGTGTGTGCTTGCTCTTTATTAAACACATTACAGACATTTTCAGTGTGATTTTTTTGTCAGATAAAATATTAGTTTCTATGTGTCATTAATGCTAAATAGTTCTGATGCTTATGGTTGATGGATAAATCAAGTGAGTAGTTTATACTTGTTTTTGGATTATTTATGAAATGCAGTCAAAAGTAATAACTTACTGTGTTTTGTCATTTCAAGGCAGATATATAAACAGTAAAGCGCTGCTTATTATTTATTTATGGCTTTATTTATGATTACAGATACAAAAAAGACAGATGAAATGAAAACAGCAGTGAAAAGCAGTTATCAGAGTGTTTATAGTGAGTGCAAATTGGCCATAGCTGTCCCTAGATGGGCTTATTAATGCTAAAAGTATTAGTGTCTTTGTTCATTATCTTATTTTGTATGTTGTGTGCAGTGTTTATCATCACGGTTGTTTTCTATTGATACTCTAAAATTTTCTGCTATATTTATGTTTTGTTTTGGTTTTTTTTCTTCCTTAAACTGTGTACAAGTTTAACATGAGCAGCTTGAGGTGACTTGGTTTTAATGTGTTTCACAATATGAGTTGAGTTGCACCAACATTTTAGTTTCTCACCTTCATGTTGATGTAACACCAAATTAAACTGAATTCTCTTATCTGTCCTTCGAAATTTCTTAAAACAAATATATTTTGCTTTGCGTGTTCCCTTTGATGCTGTGTGTTTGATTATGCTGTGAAAATGTGTTACAGTCCACATTTTAAGATGCTTCTGTGATTTTTTTAGATGAAGACGAGGTGGGAGACAGAATAACTGTAAGGAGCGATGAAGAACTCAAAGCCATGTTGTCATATGTGAGTAGTACCTAAATTATGTTGTACATTTGTCCTTGTATCTTACATTCACCCCATAAATAGTATTTTTAGTTGTGTTTTTATGTTTCAGTACTTTTCCTGGGGGCCGATTTTTTACTGGAAAGTAGTTGTGATTAAAACTGTCCACGTTCAGCTCAGACTTTGCTGTTGCCAGTTCTGTAGATAAAGTAGATAACTGGACTGCAGTCAACCAAAGAAAATGTTGTTTGACTGTAATCATACCAACTCTAACCCATCGATTCTTTGTCGGGCTGCAAAAATCTCTTGATTAACTAACTTAGCCACAGTGTAGTGATTGCTCTCTACCTGCTCGCTATGTGAGCCTGAATGAATTCTAAATACACATTAAAAGCTGATATTTTCAGGTCACTAAATCATTTTATGAGCAGACTTTATTATAATTATAACAAACTGCGTTCACCTGATTTCTGACAGAACTACATCAACTTGTGATCCCAGCACAAGAACTGTTTAAGAATAACAGAGAACATTTAATCTACCGTTTATAGAACATATCTCATGTTAGTTGTCTGGTTATGATACGCAACTTGCTTTTTGCAACGTCTGACTTCTTGTTGGCCATGCGTTTCACTAAAATGCAGCTACACTGAGTTAGTTTAGAGCCAAATTTATTGTATAAATATTACAATTTTAGCATATTTAAACTTTCAATAAAAGGAAATGTTAATTCATCTCCATTAGTTTGGGAAAGTTCAAAGTCGTGAAAATGTGGAGTGTTTTCTCTTCCACTAAAAATACATGAAGACTATTGATTTAGAGCTTTTCTTAAACAGGATCGTCTATCCAATAAAAATGAGGTTGATGACTGAATTTCCAACCAGATGATTTGTCGACCTGGAGACTACAGCCTGAGTATATAGAATGGACAGTAACGTCCACTATATTGTTAAACATCCTGAAAGAGAGATCCTCCTCTGTCATCCATTTTACACTTTGTCACTATTTTTTGTTGGATGTTTTTTGTCAAAGGGTCTAAATATAGAGTTTTGTATGTTGCACTGATTGTACAACCCTCTGAGGAAAATTTGTGCTTTTGGGGGATACAAATAAAATATAATTGACCTGACTAGACAGAGTAACAGTGACATTGTTTTAAAAGTGCTGTATTTTTTAAGTGCTTTGTGCAGCACAATGAAAGAGCCACTCGCCTTCTTTTTCACTGAGCAAAAATCTTCGAGACAGACATCTTAAAAAGAAAAAAACTTGGCACATAAAACTTGAACTGTCAGCTTGAGTGTTTACCCTTCTAGCTGGCATGAAAATGGCTTAAGGTATTAAAAACAAACCACTTGGAGAACACTTTGAAAACCTTTAATGTTGCCTATTTTTTGCTGAAGTAGCTAATCTCAGAATATCAGCTTCCCTTCAATGGTCCCCCACAACCTTATTTAGTGGTGCTCAAAAGACTTCCTCAGGGCTGTTAGATATATCAGATACTGCATTTTTTAAAACAAGAATTTTAACAGTGAAACTAACACTATAATGTCGTATTGAAAGCACCTTTGGCATAAAATAATCTAAAAGGAGAGACCTCTTCTACACTGACATTGTATTTACTTGCAGCTCAGCAACCTGTAAAGGATATTGAAAGTAAATAGCCTCATCTAGTTGCATTTAACCTGTGATAAAAACAAATTTATTGGCAATATTCAGCAGCACACGTGCAAAGCAACACACATAAACAGGCACACTCTTCCACAAGGCATTCAGCTCCCCCTCCTAGTGCAGTGCATTTTCATATTCCACCATACTTACTGTTCATGCCACGGACAGTAAGAGTAATGGCGTGTAATGGGTTTCTGTATGAGGTACACTGAAAGCTAAATGAACTGTCAATTTTTATTATTTATTATTCAGTACTTAAAGTTTTGCCTCATTAAAGAGCAGCCCCCCTGGGCTGCAGAATTGTTCAAAATCTACTTTCATCTGTGGATGTCTTTTACCCCCCATCAGCTCACAATGATGCTACTAGAGCCACAGGCACAATTTACACTCCCTATTTTTTGTCCGTTTTTATCATGCATTCACTTGTGGTTGCTTTTTAATCATTAAGTAGCATAGGGTAACAGGGTGATTAAGCAAAAAGAGACAGATGTTGTGCCGAGGATTGTTGTGAAACAGAGATTGAAAAGGCTTTGACCTTAGCCAGCTTTATTTTTTACAAATCCAGCTGACATATTTAGAGGTCCTTCTGTGGTTTTGCCTTGCTGTGCAGTGGGTGCTGTTTCAGTGGTAACAGCTTCTGAGAAAGTCATTGTTTATGCACTAATAAGGTTTCAGGTATTTCCCATCCTTCGTTTTTGGGTATTACCGCCGTGATCACATGTTATGATGGTAAAATTTCATCATAATGTTCATGAACAATCTCATTTGGGTATAAACAGATGCTGCTGAAGCAGAATAAAATGCTTCAGTGCTGTTGTTTCTCTTTCAAGAAATATATAAATGTACAATGATCTTTTAGTTTTTCTTGGTTGTTTTATCATGATGCTACTTTCACACATTCGTGGATTTTAAATAGCAGAAGAGCAACTGTATTGTAACTGTAAAAGCTACAACTGGTGCCACATTTTTAGTGTTTGACATGTCCATTTTGTCAAATATATTCGATTGAAATATCAGTGAACTTGGTCTCTGTCACATTAGCCCGTAGCTAAATGTCCCAGCACTTGATTCTTTATTCAGATGAAATGACATATCTTAAGTGCATATTAATTTATGACCCTGACCTGCACCTCACTCAACCTAGCACAAATATTTAGTATCCACAACACTGCTCTGCTTCGCCCACAGATTTCAAAACCCATTTGTTCAATGAATTTTTGGCAAACAAATCCAGAAAGCCAGTAATGGCTTTCCACTCATGGGACAGCCAAGTGTACAAAAAGCTGCTGATCACCTGGAAAATACTGGACTCACTTGAATATAATTTACGCAAGTCGAGTACTTTAAATGTCTTATGCAAGGGTTATGCATTTCAGCAGTCATTTGCATTTGTATTTGGAGAATTTTTTTCCCCTCTGTTGTGGTTGTTTGCTGTGGTTGCCATTTGGCCTCCTTAGAGACCCCAGTGGATTTTTGCTTCAGTGTTATTAATTCCAGGTGAGCAGACAGCCATTATGTGAAATTAAAAGGAATTAAGGGAAACGGCATGTTAGGTGAAAGGTGGGATAATTCATTCAGTCTGTCATGGTTGCTTTGTGGGTGCTTGTGTTTCTGTGTGTGTGTGTGGATGTTTAAGAAAAATTTACAATTAGACTTTTAAATATGCTGTCTCCGCATAGTGTTTTTTTTCCCCTCCTCTTGTTCAAGATCTCTGCTTTAACATTGCCTAGCGAAAAATTTCACGCTCCTGATTGCTGAGCAAAATTAATGCTCAAATTCAGCACTTAATTAACATCAGTCTGCAGAGGGCATTTATTGTGAAAAGTGTCCCCCATCACTGAGAACATTGATTGCTACATGCTCCTGTGAGACCCGCTAGACTTCCAGGCATCTCTAATCATTGTTCGACACCTTGAAAGACAGACGCCCCTGTTCAAAGTTAAAGACCGGCCTATGTCAGGTGCTAAAAAAAAACATGTGACCTCATCCCTTCCTCACCCAGCTCCCCCTGGAGGTAGTGGCTCTAATTCCACCATTCTTACTCCCATTTCCCCTTAGTCTGCTAATGATGATGAGACCCACTCTCTGCTCTCGCTCCCTCACTTGTCCCTTAAGGCTGAGCGATGGTATTTGGGATCGGACACTGTTTAGTTATTGGCCAACAATGGAGAATGTCTTTTAATAACACACCTACTACAGATTAGGTGGTAATTGCAGCCTTAATCAATAAACTAGCTGAGCGGAAAATTAAAGGTATGCGAAGCCCGACCCCACCCCCCCCAACGCACCCTAACACACACAGAACACGTTTTTTGGTATTAGGCCCATTGTTCAGATGTGGCCTAGTGAGAATGCTGGAGGGCGAAAGCAGAGGGTTAGGAGCGAGGAGGGGATCTGACAGTGATAAATAGGCCTTTTAATAACAGCTGTGCCACTTGGGTAGCCATTCTGATCCATTCCCATCCAAGCCGGTCCCATCGTCCTCCCTCTCTCCCTCCCTCCCTTCTTTCCCCCACAATGAGAGAGCAAATTTACATATTGCTGTGATGACTTGGTAGTTCACACTGGATTGTAAATGAAACACAATGAGCACGTGTGTGTGTGTGCGCGCTACATAAAGACATCTTCTAAAGTGTCTGTTTATTTTGAACCCTCCGAAAGTAAAGGACACAAACAAAATACACACTGTAACGTGCGCACACACTCACAGTTTAACAGATGGTTTGGTTAACTGAAACATCAATTATTGCATTGCCTTGGCAAGCGTCGGAGAGGCTCCAGAGTGTGTGTATGCTCGTGTTGGTCCTGTAGGATATGAGTGTTTGGTGAGCTGTTGACCTGGAGGAGAAAAGGGTTAATGCTACACTCCTTCAGAACAAGCCCACAGGGCATTGTTCCTCATCGGCAACAGATTTCAGCACAGCATGCTCACATTTTTGAGAACATTGTGGATTAATTCTGACGTCAGTTAAATAAACATTTTTGTGTTTGTAATATTCAAAAATTTGTCAGTGTGCTGAAAAGTCAAGTTAAACATTTTGTAAAGCTTTTCCTCATCTTTTGTATTTTGTTCCTGTGCAGATTTTAAGTTGTTCTTTATTTATGAAATAGCCTTATTGACTTTCATAAGTACGTTTAAGTTCCAGTATTTGTAATAATCACTTCAAACCGCTGTCACTTTCAACTCTTTGGGATTTTCTTTTTCCCTTTAGTACTGCAACACAATGAATGAACAACGCATGAATGGGCTGCTGCCGGATCCTCTGCAGATTTTTCCGAGAGGTACAGTGTGACATGTCACAGTTTATCATGCACTGGTGTTGCTGAAAGGCTCAGTACTTGTTTGTAATTAATGTGTTGACAATTAATCACAAGCCATATAAAAATATTCACACTTTTGTATTTAGATGCGATCCAAATTGGGGTGCATCACTTGTGCTGTGTTCAAACAATAAGAAAACGGGAGCGTTTGGTGGCTGAAAGTAACAATGGAGCCTCTGGACAACATTAAAATTCAGTGTCTCATGCTATTATTGTGTTGACAGTCATTTATAAATCTACATTTCTTTTGCTCCAAGGACATTGAAAGTGCAAGCTTGTGCTCAGGCTAAGCCTCGCCTGCATCTCTGGCAGTGTATAGCTTCTTCTTAAACTGGTTTTCACAATGAGTGCGTTTTCAATGCATACTTTCTTCTGTATCTTGGTGTAGTTTTCTCACTACTCAAAGTCATACATAATCGCTAACAGGCCCAAAGGGCAAACTGATGAAACATTTTATTGTCTTTTTTTTTCTTTGACTCTGTATCTGGCCCTGTTTTTCTGTCTTTCAGTTGTTCTCTCTCTATCTCCTTCTCTTTTCTCTAACTCTGTGATTGTTTTTCCTTTCTACCTACCACCAACTGTCTCAAGAGCCCAACATCTCAATCACTCTCTTGTCCACAACTAATTTCAAAGTAACCCTCATTTCATTTCATCTTTTTTTCCCTCTCTTTATAAAGAACTGATTCCTTTTCAACACATTTGTAAATGGCCCAGTGATGTGTTCTACAATCTAGTCAATTACTGTTTCAGCCGGCAAGACTCCAGGGATCCGGAACATACATGGCCTGAAGGTACCTATCTCAATAATTGTTTCGGCTGCCTTACACAGAGAAGGAGGGGAGGGGAGGGTGGGAAGTTGAGTCAAATGGATTGGTAACGCTGTGTTCCACTTATTGAAATGTCAATTGAAGTCAAGGCTCTCCTTTTCTTTCACTCATTCTCTTGGTTCCCTCGTCTATGTTTATGTATGGGGATATCTGGCTGTGGCTTTTTCCTTCTCCATCCCCCTGTATCCTTGTTCGTCATGCCGCCATTGTCATTTAAGAGCAAGGTGTTATCCCGAAACACTGATTCCCCTCCAGACTATTAAGATCCTCTCGTTCAATATGATACGAAGAAAATCAGCGTTGGTTAGAGCAAAAACTAAATCGGGCAATAAGAAGATGTCATTGTTCAACCATGAAATTGTCATTACAAGCCCCCAAATGGCCTTCCACAGACCTTCCCTTTTTATGTTAGGCATATGTTGCTATTGAAACTCATTGCTAATTACCATGGGTTAAATGACTTGACACCTCCTCCTTCTCTCCAGATGATCCATATAATATCCATCTGCATTTCAATGATAAAATCAACCCCCTTCACAAAAAAAAAAAAAACCCCACCGAAAGCGCTTTATTTAATGTATCCTCTGAGGAGCTTCGGTAACAACTACTCAACTGTGTCAGTTTTTTTTAAAGGTCAAAGGTCTGTTTTGAGAAGATGATATTCTCCAAAAAACCTTTAGTCCTTTGGTAATCTTTCCCCTCTTTTCTCCTGGTTTAATACAAAAGTAATTGGCTGAGGGGAGCCTTGTGTGCCATTTAAATTAGGTTTTCCTGGGCACTAATTAAAGAGGCAATCCCTGTGCTTTAGTGGACCCAACACATCGGCCTTTTGACCTCAATTAATGAGTTATTTTTAGTATCCCCTTTATAGGGTCTTGTCTCTTCTTCCATGTTCAATATCTGGGTTGAGAATGGAGGTCTTTGGAGTAAACATAGATGCAGCTGATTAGATGTAAAGACCAATGTCCCCAGTGAGGCATGAAATTTTAAATGTCTTAACTTTATCTAGCCTATCACCAGCCCATATTTTCCTGGCTCACTTTCCCCAGTGTTAAGATATATCGCTGTACTTTATTGTAAATATGTAAATCCTCCACTCTGCCTTCTGCTCATGATCGTTTCCCCTCCTCTATGTGGACACCTCTGTCTTTCTTCTTTGCCCGCCTCCCATTCTTCCAAAAGCCAATTACCCTCCAAGCTGAAGTAAGAGCCTGTGTTTTGTTGTTGTTGTTCATTAGCGGTCTGGCCAAATGTCTGTCTGGCTGCCTGTCTTTTGGCCTTGACCACGAAGTGTGTGTTTAGTATGTCCTTTCACGTTTGTGTGTTTGTGCTTGCACACCTTCAGGTTAATACAAGACCTAACCCAGCCAATGACTGCACTCATGCTGTTCCAGACTCCATAGCCAACAACAGGTGAGGCACGAGGAGGTTGTTAGAATACTTGGAGTAAACTTTCAGCGATTGAGTTGCTAAATGAATAAAAAGATGTCTGTTGTACTTACGTGATTCTTGTGTTCCTTCCTCCAGCTTAAAAAAATCATCTGCTGAGTTGAAGAGGATCCTGACAAATGGACAGGTGAGCCTGTGTTTTTGAGTTTAAGTAGATTTGGAACCCCTGTTTTCTCACTGCTAATGCTCTCACACGTATTTCGAGACCGGGCATGTATACAGAGTCTGTACTGTCTCTTCACTGTGCTACAGTAGCCGAAACGAATTTAAAATGAACTTTTGAAATGTCACAAAAAATAAGAAAATGCAAGTTAGGCCTGTTGCCATTAACTGCTTTGAAGAAAAGCATCATGAGTGTCATGAGAAGGTGGCGGTAGGTTGTGTTGCACGTTTAATAAACAGAGAAGAGGAAACCAAAAACTAAACCAGTGGTTGACTAACAGCTAAAAAAACATAGAAGGAAGAACAAAATTTTAAGAAAAAACTAAATTGTATTTATTCTTTCATGTCCGCTGGTGCTGGCCATGATTCAAAGCAGCTGATCAGTCATGTGAGTTAATGCCAGAACTTATTTGGAAAAGATGTTAGCATCTTCCAATTTGTACATTAACTCTTTTTTCTTCTTTAAATCCACCTCAAGCAAGCGTAAAAAGTTTCTTGCAAAATAGGAAGAGTTTATTTCTAGATTTTGTTGTTTTCATTAACCTTTTCTAAAGCGTTTCATCTTTATTGTACATTAACCCATCTTTAAAAAATAAAAAAATAAAAAACACCTTAAGCAAGCATGTTAACTAAATTAGGTGATTTAAAAAAAAAAGTGTTGTTTCCATTAACTTTTTCGAGTGTAACGCTTCAAAATGTGCATGAAATTACATAACGGGAACACGGCTGCTAAGAATAGGCTGTCTGAACGTTTCCAGGATCAAACCATCTACAGTCACGTCTCTCCCTCTTTTCTAAATACTCTTTCTCTGCCTCCCCCTCTCATATATACACAGACACAGTAGCTAGCCTGTCAGGAACACAATTAAGCCAGCAGCCTCTCAGGTTTCTGCTGTAACACAGTGAACTAATAGAGCTGTTCTCTCCCCTCTCCTCCATCTCTTCATCTATTTCTTCTCATTCTCTTCGCCTCCCTCCTCTCACCATGTTATTAGGTCAGTTAAGGTGAAGTGGCAGGGGCATCCAGACACGCTTACCTGTATTTTGATGCTCGCCTCTCTCTGTCTGCTTCGCGTTGATATCATATTATTACAGATAGGCGTCTGTCCAAATGAACTGGCTTTTTGACAGAGTACTGTTCGTCTGCAGCCTCAGTCAATGCCACACATAGATGCCAATCATTCTGAATGTAGCGCTCCAATACAGCGTTAACTGGGGCAATAGTTTCATAGAGAAATATTCACTTGACATTGTAAGTCCTGACCAGTTTTTGTGTGCAAATAATAAGTTTCATTTTCTTAGAATGTTTTTAATATTCTGTATGTATAAATTAGAAAATGTTCAGGATGATTTGCAATTACCTGTTATGTCAGTTAGACCCAAGAAATATTGTAAATATGGCTTTTCAGGGTTTGTACTAATATAGTATTCTGTGTTTCTTTGGATGTAAAATCAGTTTGGTTTGGTTGAAATGGGGTGTGAAATATTTAATGTATTTATTTAAAATATGAATGTTTAGATAAACTTGGGCTGATACTGTGACATTTTTAGATATTTTCAGTTTGTTTTTCCAGTCATGGTATTATTAAAAGAGACTAAATCATATTAGTGGTGGTTGGTATAATTCAGTACATTTCACAAGGACCAACACTATATAATTCTTTTAAAAAATGAAATTATCAAAATGAATCAGTCATGGCTGTCCACTATTCAAATATTGTAAATTATAAATAATAACTATAAAAAATTTCACACTTAATGAGACTAAGGAAATCGTGACGTCTATATTATAATTATGAGAATTAATTATTATTGTGATTTTATTAATGCTGAACTTGTGGAGTCAGTTTTTTTCTTCATTTTTTATTTTTTATAACTATCCACACAGTCTCATCAGAGAGGCAGTGCAGTACGTACTTTACCTTGAGGAGTTTTACAGATGTAAGGCTATCTTCTTCAGTTATTTAACATACATCCACATGTCTCTACTTAAATCATAGTTACAAGATTATTTCATAACTCTGCTGTCTTTGAAACATTTTGACTGTTAATTTCAAAACAGGCAAGACGAGGAAACTTTTGCGTAGATGAGCCACGCTGGTTCAATTTACAATCCCTGCTGCTGACACTTTTTATTATCAAAGTAAAGTAGAATGATGGCGGCAAACAAATCGCTGTTAAACTCTACATCAGTCACTCCTCTGCTCACCCGAACACATTGTCCTTTTATAAATTGGACAGCAAATGTTGTATTGATCTCCTCTTCTCCTCCTCCTTCTGTTCCTCTGTTTTTTGTTCCACTTATGTCGCTGAACTTGGGGTGACCTGAACGCTTTTCTTGTTTATAGCCTCCAATAACAACGTCGTCTCTCTCTGTCTCCCTCTCTTTCTCCAACACACACACTCTCTCACCTGTTTAGTTACACATTTAATCCGGCGGTTGCATGGCTTTTCGTGCTATGACATCTAAGTATTTGCGTGTGTGTGTTGCTCTGCAGATAAATGCCCAGGATATCCACTATCAAGAGCAACTTGGCCATGGAAACGGAGGCACAGTTTACAAGTAAGTGTTTGCTGGCGCTCACATTGAGGCACCAACATTACAAGGCCAAAGCACAATAACGGATAGTGACACTGAAAAGATACCTGCTGAAGCCAGTAAGCTGGTCTGAATGATGTATTCAGTGAGGCTGAAGCCGCTATACAGTGAAAATATTAAGGAAGAATGTCTCAATTAGTGTCAGAGTGCAACTTTTAGGTTTTTCTGCTCAGCTTTTATGGCGAAATAGCACACATTACTCTGCAGTGGTTTTTCTGCGACGGGTTGTCCATTCGTCACCACTCTCTCTGCTCCCTTATGTCTCCATTTATCTCTCAGTGTTTTGTGTGACATCTATCAGGCTGCTTTGTCTCTGTGCCTTCATTTATTTATTCTGGTTTGAAGGTTGCAAACATATATGATATTGATTTGGGGCTGTAAGGTATGACAGCAATTGACTTAATCGGTCTATAGTACAGCACATTACCTGCCACCATGAAGAGCTCCATCCTCTGTGGCTAGACAAATGTGTTACTGCCCCGCTAACGTTATGACAAGGTTGGCATTTGTGTTGCTCCTTCTATCTTTCTTTCCCCCACCTTGTGCTTTCTCCTTCCCATCAATCCTTAGCTATTGAGCTGTTTTATTGAGATTGAAGTATTGATCACTGCTCAGGCCAACCTTGACTTGACAGAGTGGTCTGCCACACACACTCCCAGCAAACCCAGTAAATTTCTTATCGAGAAGATCCACCAGACTATCTTTTTTTTTATATATATATATTTTCATCCCTTTCTGTCCAAACATCTTTTACTGTTTTATGATTCTGAGATTGTTTCATTAGCTTCCAACCTCTCCTAGTTGCAGGAGAATAAGATTGTTCATCAGTTTGGCACCAGAAGTGGTTACACTGCACTGTGAAAGGCCAATATTGCAAGCCCAACAACTTTTCACTCAATTTAGCCCAGCAGAAAATCTATATGCATTGGTGCTGAAATTTATATGGTTGAAAGGAGAAGATAAAAACATACGGATTAAAAAAAAAAAAAAAAAAAAAACCTCTGGTTTTTATTCTGTTTGGTGCTATGGATTTTTTTTAAAAATATTTTGTGTCCATTTAAATTCAGATATGTTTTATTTAGTATTTAATTCAGATAATTCATAGGTGCTTTTTTTTAGGTCAAAATAATCAAGGCAAGCAAAGGAGCAAAAATATACTTTTCTAAAGCTTCAAAGTGGAGCCACTTGAACACATGTGTGAGCGCACAGTTTTCATCCTTTACATTTTCAGTTTTCATAAGACACATGTTGTTAACATTGGCTTAATTCCAAGTGTCCATGACACTGAGCTACACCCTAGACTCTGAAACTAGCCTATATAAATGGAATGCAGTCATTTTGAATATCATCAGTTTGCTTTTTCCAAAGTGTTGGCTGTGAAGAAAAAACATCTCTGAGATGAACAGCTGGGGGAAAAAATATGACTCTTCTGGTTTATTTAGCAACACAAAAAGGCTACCTGTAGATCATAGTCTATCACATGTTTACCACTTTAGGTTTTTGCTTCCCAAACTACCGCAGCTGCATCCTCCCTGGCGCATCCGTTCCTCGCTGCTGAGTCAGCAGTAACGTAGTGAGCACCAGCTGAGTTCTGGGCAGCTTCTTACTCTGCAAAAGTTTCTCAGAACGTCCACTCTGACCCTGTGTACCCAATCTCCAGCACGGCACTGGAGAAAACCATTATAAATAGAGCCGTCAGCGGGGCTGTGCCAGAAAATCAGTTTTTACCAAACTCTGTTCAACAGTATCACCTGCAGTTCAAGAACAGAACACAGAGCAGTTCATGGCTCAGCTACTCCATCCAGTGTCTCATGCGCACAGCAGCATAGTTAGTGGAACCGCACATTTTTGGCTTGACGTTTTGATTGATTGATTTTGTTCTTAAAGTTAAAAAAAAACAAAGACAAAAGTAATGTCAGAAAGAAAATCAAGATTATAAATATACAGCACATAGACAAACATGCTCAGCGTACACATATTGCAAACTAGAAACTAATAATCAGCACCCACATGAACATGCACCCTGTCCTACTCTGCACTTCACACAGGACTCTCCATGACCACATGTTTGTGTTGGAGTGTCATCCTTGAGTTTACAGGCTTAGAAAAAGGATGGTATAAGCTAATGTTTTAGACCTTCTTGCCTCTCTGTAACTAGACTTGTCTTTAGAGTGAGAAGAATCTCAAAATTGTAAATTTGTTGCAAAATTGGTGTTAATTGTGTTAGTGGCCTTGGCACCTGCTCCAGAAAATCTAGTCGCTGCTTCCCTGTTTCTTCAATTTTAATTACTTTGTCACAGTCAGACAAAGCTTCAAGTACTTAATACCACTCTTCCCTTGGTGTCGCCTTTGATGTGTTGTTGACAGGTCATTAGTTAGCTAGTTAAAGAACGATGACTCGCTGACCTCTGTGTAGTGTTGTATTAAGTTTGGCTTGTGTTTATCACGTTAATGCTTTCAGTCAAGTTATTACAGCTTATATAAAGTGCTCTCCTCTCAATAGATAACTCTGTGCAAAAGTAAATTACCTATTTTCAGACAAAAACAGTAATACAGTTACTACATCAACACAATTATCAAGTCTGCCTTTGGCTAAGCTTTATCATGGTGGAATCTTCTTAAGGATTGAAAGAATCTCCATAATCTGCTGGTAATCTTTGTTGAGCCCAAACCTTTGTGTTTCAATTCTGTACAGAAGTAAAATTCTGATACATTGCCATTGGTTGGTCTAACATATGTATTTCATAGGCACATTTCTTGGGAAAAAAAATAGAAATGAAGAAATCAAGGCCCTCATTAAAAAAAACGGATTATTGTTTACCTCCTCAGACTGCCTCAATATGGTTTAACTGGTAATTTGTACAAAACAGTAGTGTTCTCTGTTGATGCATTTTTTGTTTGTTTGTTTGTTTGCTGTCACAAAGATTTTTATTTTAGCTCAATACATCCATGTGTCAGATATAAATTTGTACAGGGACTCCAGCTCATCAGTCCAGCAATCATTTCAAACACCAGCTAAAGAAACCTAAAAACCAGATGCTAATGCGTGCTAAAAAGTAAAAACAAACAAACAAACAAAAAACCCCACTGCAGCTTTGGTTATATTTTTGCAGTTCTAATCATTGGTCCTTTTACATTGTACTCACCACAGTAATTGCTGATACTGTACACACGACTTATCCTCATCAAACACTCCTGATGTTTCCATTAAGTGAGTGTTTCAGCATGTCAGGCTCTTTTAATGTGTATTACTCTGTGATTACTCTTTCAGCCAATTTTAACATTAATTCCTAATTTGCAGACACATTCTTTCATATAATCTTCACATATATGCTGTTGTTTTGTTCACGCTGTTTTTCTACATCTTTTTTTTTTTTTTTTGATTAACAAAAAAGCTTTTTGTGAAACTTATTTAAAGACGGCTGTAATAAAATCTGCTGTATCGAACTGTAAATGAACTGTTTGAAAAGGAAAAATACTGCATGCACACACACCAAGGGAATGGGGCAGGTTTTGTGTCCTCTTCAGCCTTTGCCATTTGGTCCAGCTTATATTGGGCTTATCACGTTTGAATAGCACCACGAAAGGCTCCCCACCTTTTAACCTTTTAGCCCATTTATGACCCAGAGCCATTTAGACTCAATTGGATGTTACCAACACCTCAGCTCTCCACAGCCACATGCTGACCTAGCCATCCATCAATGTCGGCCTTTGTTTTTTATTACACACTCTCTCAGAGGTCCATCTTGTCCACCAATCTAACTGACTCTATGGCTTATAAATACAATAACAAGGACACACAGGCTATTTCCGTGACTCATGGATCCAGCAGTGCAATTAAAACAAGCACATTTGCCTGACTGTGTCTGTGGTGACATCTACTTAGACACCCACAGCTGTTCCTTTAGTCGCTCGGCCCATTTTCTCCATTGATTTTGTTTTTTCACCTCATTGATTGCATTGTATATTGAAGGGACAAACCTCTTTTGTTAATTGTTGTCTGATTTTCAGATTGTGTCAGGAACCTGTTGAGTGGTATTTCAGGGTGCACCTGGCGCTACAGTGTCTTTTAAATGAATCCTCATAGAGCAGTTTTGATTGGTTTACACGTGTCTTCCTGTTTTCTTATTTCATTTTATTTTAGTGGAAAACATACATTTTTACACTGAGGTAAGAGGTGACATGTGTGGTGGCTGTTTATTACTTGGCCTTAGATAACTTGCTGGTGTGGAAAAGGAAAATCAGGTTTGTATTAGAGAGGAATAATGCAGTATATGCATAACTATGAAGCTAATTAGGGATTGGTCAGTCTTTGAATCTGGCTTATTACAAAATATCCCATCCCCATCAGAGTGGTAGTAAGCACTGCAGAGATTTGGTACTAAGCTGGATTAAAAGAGTGACCGGCTCTAATTTCCGAAGTGTCCTGATTTAGGAAAAGTGTACTTGAGACTGAACTGGTGAAGTCCTTAATGCAAAATGTGAATGCTTGTACTTTTGCCTAAATTATTTCTTTGTCCACATGGCTTAGTGGCTAAGAACCTGAAGTTATCTGACATCTGGGTAGAGAAAAAAATACAAGAATTTTCAGAAACTTTAAAAGGCCGAGTGCATGTCCCAGAGTAAACAAGACGCAGAGGGTTGGTTGCTTAGTTGTAAAGCGTTCTATGGAGGAAGAACAGCAGCAAGAAAGACCACAGATATCTTTGCTTGGACTGACGTTGAGGTCTATGTGTAACAGAGAGAAGGTAACTCAGTCTTATGTCTTTGTCATCTTCCACAAAAGGGCACCATGACATGAGTGTGATGAATCAGGGAAAGACACATAGCGACTGGTATGACCCAATCACGACGCAAACGTGGGTGATGTCATCATTTCCAAAAGTCTCAGTTTTTGATCGCCCAGGCTAAAATGCAACTCCAGGGTTTTTAAACTAAACCAGGGTCTCCAGTGTTTTCAAACTTCTCCAAAAGTAGTGTGAACGCTGGGGGTAAACTTAGCAAAAGTTCTGTGTTTTAAAGAGAAATATGTAAGTGTGACTTACTGTCCTTGTTTTGTACATCTGCTAAATTCCTTTCCCAAAGGTGCTGCACTGTGTTGAACTGGCGTGACAATACGTGCAATAGGACACCCTCTAACAACACAAACTGACAGCAATGTTTGTCTTATCAGTGAGACTTAAATCTACATGACTACTGGCCCTCCATAAAAACAAAACAATCATTTTCTATTTAACTTAGCTGGGAGGTCAGATTAGATTATCTTTTTTTGTTATTATATGAAAGTACAATTAAATTAGTATAACACCGCTCCTATGTAGATTAAACAAAGCGATTAAAAAGTGGTATCAGATGAGTAGAGGGGTTTTCGGGCAGTTTGGCTCCAAACAGAAACCCCACAACTGTCGTGTTGTTGTAATCTCTCTCTCGGCCACAAGAGGCCTCTTCTCAAAGATAACGTCAAAGTCCGCCCAGGAATTCAAATTATCACCTTTTTTTTTTTTTTTTTTTTTTTTAAGCAGATGTAAAAAAAAACCAAACCTTTAAATTTTGTTCTATTTAATTTTTAGCTTCACATCCTTTCTGTTTGTAATGTGGTGGACTATTAAGAAGCATTTTTGTGTATGTTTGTGTGCTGCTTGCATGTCTGTCTGTGTTTAGGTTTCTGTCTGTCTGTGTCACTTAGGAAACCAATTATAGCGGTATCAGGTGAAAGAGATGGAGAGAAAGGCAGCCCGTCGCCCATGTGGCAGTGTAAACGTAGCACGTTAGCCCTGATCCTGGAGGCCAGTCTGTCCAACCCACAGCCCCAACTTCAGAGACATAGAGAGAGGCCCTATGAATACTGCATGATGGAGCTTTTATTACAGAGCGAGCTGGAGTGTAAATAAGATCCAGGCAATGGGGCACGTTTACTGGGGTCAGATCAGGGGGAAGTGGCGGGGGGTAGCTATGTAACCTTGTCCCCATGTCTCCCGCTGTCACAAGCCTGTCACTGTAACTCATACAGGGATGCTCGGCCCTGAGATGGTCAAGGACAGTCTGAGAATAAAGCTTTAACCGAGCAGTAGTCACACCACATCTCCAACCCTAAAACATGCTGCCAAAAGACATTTGTTTCAACTTGGGGATTTCTTGACTATTTTGCGTCTAATGTGGATATACATTTTGTTTCTCATTTAGTACAACCATCTGAAAATAAACTCCATGTGCACATTTCATCCTGTGAAAAACTGCTGTGTCTGGACCACTTTGATGTCTGTTTATCTTAAGCTAACTTTAGTCAACATTAACAGCAGCCATTAAGGGAAAAAAAGTATTTCCTTTAAACCTCTTGTTACGTCTCTGCGAGCTAGGGGATGAGGGGAGTAACAAGAGTGAAATAAAAACTGGGTTAAAGGGACCAGGAAACTGATTGTTCAACAAGTCAGGTTTATTTTACAAACAAAGGAAAACAAGAATGCAAACTAGAGCAAGCTTCCTGGAAACAAAGCCGGTCCTACGATCACCAAACACCGCAGCAACCACAGAGTCCCCAGAGTCGCTGAAGCCGTGCCCAATATCACAAACGCCACACCGCTCTGTCTGCCGATTTGGCCCACTGGCCACGGTGATCAGGCTGGCTCAGCTTTTCAGCCGTCTCTTGATGAGTGCAGAGCAGCTGCAATACTCTGCACCAAGGGCCGTAACACCTCTGAACCCCAAAACCCACCAGGATATTTGAAAGATGTGTTTAAAAAAAATAAAAATGCCAACATTACACCATCAGAGTCACAAACAAGCAGAATCCGTGGACTTTTAACTTTTTGACGGTCACTAAACGCATCATCTGTGATGTATGTTTTTGTCAGGAAACGTAATCAGATCCAAAAATTGGGACATTTAATCAAACCATGTCACTCTATATGTATCACTCAAAAAAATGTGAAAAATAAATCATTAGCACCAGAATCTGGCTCAGCTGCAACATGTCGTGTAACAAAAATTCACGGACTTTTGGATGAACTGCAGGCTGTCTTTACACAGAGCAGACAGGAGATGACAGGAGAGATTGAGAGGAAAATAAAACAAACTTGAGCAATAAACTACATTTAACATGGTTCAGAAATGGCATACAGTAGATCAAGTTGTTGGTAGAGGCATTCAGCATGATGAAACCTCTTTTAGAGATAATGTGCAGAGAAGTGTGAAAAACACCTACTTTGTAGAGCTCGTAAAGATGTAAATAGGCCTAGTCAAATAGCTGATCTCTAGCATACACGTGGGGGCAATTGGAAAAATGTTCTACACATTGATTCCTTTTTTTTTGCCATCGTAAAATTCAAAGAACCTCAAGTTTCATGTTTTATTTTTTTCTGTTGATTTATGGTGTTATAACTGTGTTATACTGCAAAGACGACGTTTTTGAGATCTCTATACTTCTATCCATGATTGCGCTGTTTCCGTAGAGGCCAGGGACTTTATATTGCAGAGAAAAATGAGTCCACAGTGAGCAAAGATGTTATGGTAGCAAAAAAATGCCCAGAAACTGCTCAGGGTTCAGAGTTTTCAACGGATATGAGACTTTGCATCATGATACAAGAGGAAAATGTCATGCATCAAAATAGCTGAAGTAGCTGCATTCACCCACAGGATGAATATGGCTTCTAGCATGTCTAGACTTCCTAATGAGAACTACAAGTTGTTTAGTACGGTAAAAACGTAATCTCTTTTCAGGCTGCCTTACTCACACAGCCTGCCCAGTCAGTATTTAACATGTCTACCCCTGCGATCTTGCCTCAATTAACATTTTTGTCTTAATTAAGAGGCAGCAGTCATGCTTAACTGATATTGATTGTAGCTTAAAGGAAGACTGAGACATCAAAATGAAAACAAGGCCTTATGTGCGAAGAGCTTCGTTCCAGAAAGAAAGGTGACATTTAGGGTCAAAAACTCTTCATCCATAAATGACATCATCCATTTAAGTCTACAAAAGGCTTGTTGTTTATTCTGTCACTTAAAAGTAAGTTTTTCTTTAACTTTTGGTCTTCACTACCTGATGTTTGATGAAGTTCATCATGTGACTTGAAACAAACTAAGGGTGAACACTTTGTAGAGGAACATCCTTTGTGTTTTGACAGTAGTGAACTTACTACATAGAGGAAATGATTGCATAGTTATCACGACCTTGCACAAACAATTGATTCTCTGGGCAGCTTGTGTGTGATGTAAGTTTCTTCCAGAGAAATTCTCTTTAGCTAGTTTTTGACTTGAACAGTCACACCACCGTTATGAACGATACCACGGCATAGCTATAGTCAGAGACCAGTGTTTGTTCTAACTGTGGGTAAATACCTGACATGGCACTAATAGGTGTCATTAATTAAAGGCCTGGGCCAGTTTAGAGGTATCTGGCTGAGGAGCAATGTGATACTCCAATCTTAGACACATTAATCACACCTTGCACCATACACATTCTCTCCTGAAGACCCACTGACAGGTGAGTAGGCAGGTATCGCATTTACTCAGCCTGCTTGCGAGCTAACCGGCCCGTATGACGTACGCTGAGCCCTCCTCATCCTCATCACCTGACAGCTGTTGGACAGTATTTGTCCTTGAGGATTGTATGTTCAGAGGTCCCGAGGTATTGTCACCGGTACCGTAAACTAACCTTCAAGGGCTGTAACTAAAGCCGACGTTTGGCATTAAGGAGTTTGATAATTAAATCATTATGGGGCTGGTCTGTGGCTGCTGCTTTACTTGCAACTCAAAACTCTGTCTGGAACAAGGACAGACAGGGCTGACTGCTTCTCGTTTTGCGCAGTGATCTCTGACCTTTAAGAGAAATGACAGAAGCACTCTGTCATGCTAATTCAGACTCTGCTATTGCTCAGAAACTCATAGACCTGTGGAGTCTTTATTGTCTTTTATATCACCGAAAAGGAGTGTTTTTTGTTGTGTTTTATCCCCACGTATGATACAGTATTACACTAAAAGACTACAAACTGTAGCATCACTCATACTACTTGCAGTTTCTGATTGCTTTGATCAATTTGCATCATTTTTGTCATTTGCCAGAAGTGTAAAGGGGCTGTACATTAATGGAGAAAATACAACAGGTTTTGAACACGTTCCCCTGGTTTAAATCTCACTGAAAAGTTGTGGGTAGATCTACGGCATATTGTGTGTACTAGACAGCTTAAGAATACTGTATCTACCAGAGTGGATAGTTTAACCTTCGTAAATCAAGAACATAGAGACTCTTAGCTGGCTTTAAAAAATATTTACTGGCTAAGCTGTGATGCCAGCCAAAGGCAGGGTCAGTACCCTAACTTTTACACATGCCACAGTTACTTTTGTGTTTTATTTTGTTCATTAAATAGTAATTAACAGTGCATTCATGTCTGTTGGCGTTAGAGGTTGAACTGATTTCTTATTGTTTTAGTTCTGATTCATATTACCTTCTGTTCTGTCTCTCCAGAGCGTACCATGTTCTTGGCAAGAAGGTTTTAGCTGTCAAGGTGAGAATTCCTTCCGTTTATGTGACAGTCAGTGCTTTCTCTTTCACTGGAACATTAAAAGATCTTGTTAGTGTTGGGTTTATCAAAGGCTATGCTTTGTTTCCTGATGTTCTGCTGCAGGTCATTCCTCTGGATATCACAGTGGAGCTACAGAAGCAAATCATGTCAGAATTAGAAATCCTCTACAAGGTTAGTTTTGACTCGTTTCATCTGTTCCTCTTCACCAAAGCAATTTATTTTTCTTCATTCTACCTCACCTACATTGTTAATTAACCATGAGTCCCACTAATGAAATGCCATTTATCGCTTCTGGTCTTATAGTCTAAGCCAGGGATCAGTGATAGGTGGACACACATGCACATAAACGTGGACTAGTTTAAAGTTTACTGATCACTGTCCATGCATAAGAGGTTTTTCTTCTTTTCTTGTGCGTAGTGGAAACTCATTTGCACCCTAATTGAATTTATGATGTGTTATTAACTTAGAATGTGCTGAAAGAAGTTGTGGTTACCCTGAAACTGAGGGAACATCACCTGAGCTCAGTATGTTGATGTTGTTGTCTGTGGCTCAGCTGGCCCTCTTGTCATGCACTGTGCGTTTAATTAAATGATAAATCATATCTTTCCAATTAAAAAAAACTGCTAAATAGACTTCAAATAAATGCTATTGAGTGATGCTTTTGAGCACTGACTACAATCACCCAAGCTCGAGTGATTATTAGGAACCACAGTTGTGTGCAATTCAGTGCAGGTTTCGCACTCTTACAGTTTCAATTCTGATCAGTTTTTGCTCAAATTTATAATGAGGAAACAGTTTAGATATTTCAGCATGCTCTTTAATAATCGCATTGCCTCTGCTCTTGATTACAGTGTGATTCACCCTACATCATCACGTTCTTCAGTGCCTTTTTCGTCGAGAACAGGATATCCATATGCACAGAATTTATGGACGGTGAGTTTCTCAGCAACATGTTATTTTTTTCTTTGCCAGCTACAGTTGTGTGGAAGAGACTTGGGGGACAGTGGCGAGTCAGTCGTCCGTCTCTCCACTGTGTATCCATTTACACTTCTATAGATCAAAAGAATGTCTGATTGCTGCGAGCTGCTTAGCATCCCTGTGTGCTAAAAGCTACATGGGCGTGATAAATCTTGACTTAAGTGCATTTTGTAGGTGTATTTGTATGCGTGTGCGTCGACTGGTGTGAGATGAGGGACTGTCTGTGTTTTTAGGTGTGTGTGTTTGTCCAAGTGTGTGTTAATGCAGCGATTCCCCTGTTTCACACATTTCGCAGCTTGTCAGCAAAGTCTGTGTAACCTCTGAGCGTTCTCTTAGTTCATGGAACTTTTCTTTGATCAGTCATCACTACATGGACTTGGTTATTGAAAAGAAGGATTTACAGTATTCAGAAAGCTTAATCTGGAATTACATGTTCACAACATATGGCCATCAAGTTAAAGTGTAACAATAAATACTGTATATTGAATATCTTTTTTATACAGAGCACTGTTTAAAACCCAAGTTACAAATTACCTTACAAGGCAACAAAGTAAAGACAAAAGAATTCTTAAAACCAGAGCATTGTTAGAACATTTAGAAGAGAAATATAGGACAGTTGAAAGGAAACTGAAAGTAAATTAAAATCAGGAAAGGATCTTTGATAATAATATGTTTTAAGAAAGGACTTCAGCCAACCTGATTTCCTGCAGACTGCGAACACTCTGCCTCCCTCAGTTTTTTTGTTGCTCGGAGGATCTTAAAGTGCGTGCTGGTGTGCACAATCCTGAGACGTCAAAGATACACCATATAATTGTTAAGACTCCCTTTAATTTTAAAGCATAGCTCGACTGAGTCCATGGCATCTAAATCCTCTTTAATATAAGACAATTCTTTATTAATCCCACAGTGGTGAATATTACAGTGTTACAGCAGCAAAGGAAATGGTGCAAAAATGTAGGGACATTAATTTAAAAAATAAATGTACAGAAGTACAGTTGTTGTTGTGCAGGATTTTTCTATAGGAGACTGATTGCATTGAATAGACAGGTTCTTCTGTATATAGGAAATACTGATATAGGAACACTGGATGGCTTTTCCGATAATATTCTGGAATGTTTTAATGTGGTGTTCTTGGACTCGTAAGGAATTGTTTAATGTATTTTGTTTTAGTCCTGCAGTCACTGAAATTTTTGTTTCCTTCTGTTTTGGGAGTCCTGCTTCTGCTTCAGGAATGTTTGTCTTTCATGAAATATATTTAAATATAATAGTTATATTTACATTTTTAGTCTGCTCAGCTGGTTTCTTGGCAATCATGTCACTTCAGACTTCACAGTTCTTTGGGAAGCAGTGGTTGATGTAGTGTAGAGCCTTTCAAACAACACTGTTTCTGATAACTGAGTGGATTATAAAGTCTTAGTTTTGAACCTGCATGGACAATCTGAAGTCATCTCTGTGGTGTGCTGTAAATGCTCTTAAGGTATTGATCCAGATTTTGCTGTTGCTGTATAAATGTATAAATGAGTAATTTGTTTTGCGCAGGTGGATCTCTGGACGTCTTCAAAAGAATTCCAGAGCATGTTCTAGGGAGGATCGCGGTGGCAGTAAGTTTCCATGAAGCACACTAAATCACCCTATGAGTGTTATTAGAGGTGAAGGCATCTTAATGACTGTATAAACTGGTCACATCAATACATTAGTTTTTTAAAACCATATGTGTAAGTATATACTCTGTTAGAGTCAAGTACAGAACTACACTGTTGCTGCTTTCATCTCTCAGATGTCATCGTCCATGCCTGCCTCGCAGTCACAGAGTTGAGTTTGACCTGTTATTTGTTTGTTGCATATAGAACTGGCCCGAGGCAAATACTCAGTTTATTAATGAAATAAAACACAGGAGAACCACAGGTGTGAATTTTTCAATTAGCTCTTATTTAGTGGAGTGATGGACACAGTGAGTGTTGTTTTCCTCTAATCCTCCCCTCTCTCCTTTTCTTCCTCATTTTCTACTCTCAGTTAAAACTAGCATTTTGATCGAAATGGCCTTGATGTTGATTAATGCATGTCTCTTTTACACACTCATTACCCTTCTCTTGTCTCCACCTCCTCTTTTCTGTCTCTCTCCTTTAACTTTGTCCGTAATCAAACAATGACAGCTATTTAGTCAGTGCTAATTCTAATTCACAGCTTTCCCTCCTTTCCACTGTCACAGTTGTTAATTATCACAGAAGGAAAAGCACCCAAGAGGGTGCGAGTGAAGCTGCAAACGCCAGTTGTTGCACTCTCACCACAACCTTGCAAAGCAGCAGGACTTTAGAGAGCTTTTGTGCTTCCTTAATTTATCTCAGATGTTGTTGGGCGTCAGGGTTTGATGACGGGAGCCTTGAGGCTTGAATCAACTATCACATCCCATAAATGAAGAAATCACCTTAAAGCAGTATTATCTATTTAGAAATGAGTAATGCTTAAATACTTACTACTTACTGACAAGGTGCCCTAACCAATTCACTGAATTTCTGTCAATATGGAGGAGAAGGATCTCAGTACCTGGCTTCTCTAATTGTTTAACTCTCCCTTGATCCTCCAGGGAAAGATGAGTCATCCTGTTCAGAAACATTTCATTGGTTGCTTGCATCTGTAGTCCTATTATTTCAGCGATTACCCAAAGCTTGTCACTATAGCAAAGAACTGGAATGATGATTGTCTGACAAACTGGGGTCTTTAATGTACAGCTTAGCTTCCTGTTTGCCACCACAGCTTGATAGAAAGCCTGCCTGAGTGCAGCTGGCATTCAAGTCTGGTCAATTTTATAGTCTTGTTCTTATTATTAAGACCTAAAGACTTCTTCTTGGGATAGATTCTCCTGCTCACCTATGTTGAGGGATTAGGAGCTCCCATCCCCATGTTCTGAGGAGGATTTTTTTGACAACAGAATTATTCTCTAAAAACTGCAGGGCATCCCAGTGAGGTGCAATGCTTATAAGAAGTATTCACTCCCTTTGGAAGTTTAGCTTAGCTTTATGTAGCTTTTTTAAGTTTACAAACAAAATTCCAACAAAACCCCAGTTTCATGTCAAAGTTTAAACAGAATTCTACGAAGTAACGTCTCTTCCATCTCAGCTGCTGAGGTATGGAACTCCTTTAGAGTAGTCA